CTCTAATTGCAGTGCCCTTATTTGGGTCAACCCAGTATGCTTTGTGCATCATCTGAAGTTAAATGATGCATCCTGGAAATTCTAACAAAGGAAGATCTCTCTTCTGTTCAAATATAGATTGACTGATGTCAACCCGCCTCAAGTGTGTTACTTAAAAAGCAGGGTGCAAAGAGAACAGCTGTCAGGGTGAGAAGTCTAAACACATTTTTGAAAGTAGCCTGGTGCTGACAAAATGCATTTAATCATGCTCAAGACTTCATGAAATTGAGTTCATTAAATTAGGATTTTAAATCATTATGGCTAAGCAAAACATGTGTATCTAAATATTAAATAAAACAAAATGTAAAGATATCTAAGATGTTAAGATTTTAGTAAAATAAGTTAATGAAAAAGAAAGTCAGGGTCTGGGAAGTATGAATATTTAGGACTACTAAACTGTAGGATTATAAGAGTGGGTATTGACAGCCACTCAAGAAATACACATTTTCAAGCACCAAGGTTGTCCCTATCAAATGAGTCTGGGCTTTCTGTTTTCTCAGGCAGATCTGAAGGTGATAGATTACCTAACACCTTCTGTGATGCGTCCTGTGATCTTTGTGTCTGGGTGCATATTTAGTGGAAAAAACCTCTGAATAAGTCCGTCCTGAATTCCAGATGGCCCTGCTATGATCCTGCAAAGGTCATCCTGATCCCAGGATTAGAGAGGGCCACTGCCCACGTGCACAGAAATGCTGCCACAAACACGTAGTGTCAGAGGAGGATGAGTTTCAGATCAGGGTCTGTCCTTGAATTACAACAAAGGGCTGTAAGGCAAACCAAGACCCTAGATGTCCTTTCTTCCCAAACCTAGCATTTCTTTAAAAAGGAACTGTACTACTTTAAAAAAAAAAAAATCTCTTATTCTCTATTTGCACATTCCATTTAGAGGAATATTTTTTGGAACATTTGCCGAGTCAGCCTTGATGTTAAGGGTTAAATTTTATATAGAGAATATAATACTGATGCAAAGGAAAAAAGAGTTCAGCTATAATTTCTAAAATCTGAGCTCGTTGTAGCTTAAATTCACCTCAGATACTCTGTTATCTAAGCAACAATGTGTTTGGTATGAAAACCAGTTTTGCATGTTCAGCCTAAGTTACATGCTGCTGAATGGAACCTTTCAGAGAAGGAAAGGAAACCAGAAGTGTGGCTTTTAGTTCTTAGTTTCCTTGAGCCAAAACCTCCTCCTACAGTTTTTCTAAATATTTGTTTAACTCTGTTAAAGTTTATTCATTATTTTGCAAATACACTAAATACGTGAAACTGTTTCAATTTTTAGCTGGTACTAAAAAAGTTAGAACCAAATTTTTCCGTAGTATTTCACAGGAGAAAAACACTTTCAGTCATTGTGATTGTACAGACGTGATCATTCACATGTGAATTGTTTTTTATTAGAGATGACAATAAAGTTAAAACCCAGCTTTTCCGGGGACCTGGATAAGTGGGGGGATTGGTATAAAGTTTTGCTCTATATTTGGTACGTTTGGGGCTAACAGATAACTTTTAGACCAGGCTTTCTATGCCAAATGAAATTATAATATGTGTTAGTGAATGTGTTTTAAATAAGTTTAAGGGAGCAACCCACCCTTTCCCCAATACCTCCACTCCACAAGAAGAGGAGAGGGAGAGAAGGGAACGGGGCTCGTCACATTGATATTTTTCTTAAAAATGTCATTGGAGCAACTGTAGTCATTGGAATACCTCTTGAAAATATGAGAAAGGGGAAAATCAAACTCCTCTGCCATGTGCCAGGCCACTTCTCATCCCTCTCCTTAGGAAAACCAGCTTTTGGAATTCATTTTCAAATGAGGATTTGAGGCCTGTGATTTAAAATATATGTCAAAGAATGGACTTCGACATCCCTTGGAGGGTGAAACCACTTTGCCTACTTTTAGGATCTTGCTTTTCGTAGGTCATGGAGTCCTAACTTGACAAGTAGCCTTTTAATAGGTTAAGCTGACTTGAATTGGACTTTGAAGTCAAGGTCCTTGAACTGAAGGAAGTTCCATTCTTGCCTTAGAGCTTTTAATGATTTTCTCCTGACTCGTATTCTTATCAGTGATTGCTAGAGGGTTCTCAGTAGACTACTTAGAATTACTGAATTAAAGAAAGGAAGAAAACAGAGTTAGACAGTCACAGAAGATCATTTGAAGAAGATCGTTGCTCTGAAATCAGCAAAAATGGTTTAATTAGGCATGTTGACCGTCTGTGTAAATGACTTTTACAGATGATTTATGTTAGCTACATTTTTTTTAACATTTAATTCCTGTTTTTTTCTCCCTAAGCTGTTGGATCTCAGATAAAACTGAAATTTTTGTTATTGTGGTAAATACATATAGCATAAAAGCTATCATTTTAACCATTCATAAGCTTGTAGTTCAGTGGCAGTAAGTACGTTCATATTGTTATGCAACCATCGCCACCATGCATTTCCATAACTTTTTATCTTCTGTAACCATTAAGCAATAACTCTTCATTCCCCTCTTCCCCTGGTGACCTCTACTCCACTTTCTATATGAGAACTATTCTGAGTACCCCATATAGGTGAAATTGTATAGTAGCTGTCCTTTTGTAACTGGCTTATTTACTGAGCATAATGTCTTCAAGGTTCATACACGTTGTTACAGGCTGGTCTTGAACTCCCGGGCTCAGTCAGTTCTCCCACCTCTGCCTCCCAAAATGCTGGGATTACAGGCATGAACCACCGCGCCCAGCCATGAATTTTCTTCTTTAAGATTGGATAATATTTCATTGTATGTATATGTCACATTTTGTTTATCCATTCATCCATTGGTGGACACTTGAGTTGCTTCCACTTTTTAGCTATTGTGAATAATGCTATGAGCGTGGGTGTATAAATATCTGTTCCCTGCTTTTAGTTCATAAGCATATACCCAAGAGTGGAATTACTGGGTTGGATGGTAGTTCTATGTTTAATTTTTTGAGGGACCACCATATTGTTTTCCACAAAACAAAAATGGCTGCACCATTTTATATTCCCACTATGTTATTAACATTTTTATTTGGCTGTTTGAAGTAGCACTCTTCAGTCTTCTAGTACTCTTCTACTTCTCTGTAGTCAGAGAAATAGTCAAGATATACTTTCACTTGAAATTTATTTAAATGCAAATGAAAGATTGTGAGATGACAGAAGAGGGATTTGGTAGAAAGAACAGGCATTGCTAATATTTCAGTGAGTTTAGAACAACCATTTCCATGTTCGTATCTTCTATTTTTTTCTTTTTTTTTCTTTTTTTTTTTTTTTGGAGACAGAGTCTCTCTTTGTCACCCAGGGTGGACTGCAGTGGTATAATCTCAGCTCACTGCAACTTCCGCTTCTCTTGGTTTCTCATGCCTCAGCCTCCCAAGTAGCTGGGATTACAGGCATTGGCCACTGTGCTCGGCTAATTCTTTTGTATTTCAAGTAGAGTCAGGGTTTCTCCATGTTGGCCAGGCTGGTTTCACATTTCTGGGCTCAAGTGATACACCTGCCTCAGCCTCCCAAAGTGCTGGGATTACAGGCGTGAGCCACCACGACTGACCTCAATTCTGTTTTTAACTTTGTATGTACACATTTCCTGTAGTTGCAATTATAGCATAGAAGGTCTTAAATTCTGTTTTACTTAGGCCTTTTCTGTTTCACCGTTATGTTTATTATTTTTTTAGATGACAACATAATACATTTCGTCTTAATATACCATGTAGCCATTATGTTTTCCGGAGGTTGCTTTTCTTTGGTGTATTTAAATAACGTTACCACTGGCCTCGTGACAGAACTGTTTCTGTTGGATGATTTCCTTAGGATAAAATCTCGGTAGTAGAGAAGACTGATGGGACAAAGTCAATTAATGACTCATGCTTTGTGTTTCTCCAGTGCTTTTAAAAGGGGGACTTATTTTCCTTACAGCTGTAACATTTGATTTCCTAAATATATATTTATATTTAAAAAGTATTTGTATGTGTTAAGATGTTTTGCCATTCAATACATTTTAAGAAGTTAATCTTACTTCACGTCAGCCCAATGAAAAAAATATTTTGCTGTACTATAGGAGAAACTTGAATCACTTAGAAGTTGTCATTTAAAATACTTGTTTATGGAAGGGAAACCTCTTTTTCCTCTTGTTATCCCTCAGAGAGCTTTTTAAATGGAATGTGTTACCTTTTTCAGCACGTGTAAGTTATCTACTTGTGAGAAGGGAGCTGATTAACCTGTGATATTTTTGCTGAAGATTTGTATGTCATTAAATCAGCAGTATATGCTCAGCACCTACTAATGATAGTAGTCACTATGAGAGATAGAAAAGATTGAAAATATATCCCTGGAAAAATTAATAATGCCAAAAGATCTGTTCAAAAAAGGATCTATCCAAAAAAGTTAATCAAGACAAGCAACAGATACTGCAAAGCGTTATATAGAGCACCATAGTCCGGGGCCAAAGAAATCAGTAGGGGCTGGGCAGTAGAGGAATTCCATATTAATGAATGTGAGATTAAGTATATAGTGAAGAAATTAACACACAATTTTAATTTCTGTTAGGCAGAATGCTCCTCTACCCCGATGCCACCGCCTTTCACGTTTCCTAAACCCTAGAGACCTCTGATCTCCATCTGCCTCATCAACACGTCACCACCCTTTGCTCTTCGTCCAGTTAGTCACGTGTTGGCTGAATTTATTTCACTCCAGTACTTTAGGACCTTGACAGACAAACGATTACAAGGCCAATTCCCAGCATTTCTTTAGGGTGTGTTCAGGGGTGCAGATGTTCTTTGGATGACCTTTCTACTAAATTAGACTTCTGAAGGAGAAAGCTACCCTGAGAGAGGCTTTCCCTGAGAGCATTAAGTGGGGCAAAATCTGACTAAAATTTAATTACTAAATGAAAATGTGTACATTAGAGTTCCTGGCCAGAGTTGACTCTAGGTAGTGACATGATTTTCTTGGGATGTTTTTCTAAATATTCTTTTATGCTAAAGCACTTGGCTTGATACTTCTGTTGATTAAGCTCAGGTCTACTTATAGTCATCTACTGAGAACCTGTGGTGTGATGAGATAACTTGGTCTTTGGTCTTCATCATTTGAAGTAGTTTTGGTTTTGTCTTGTCCCTTCCTTGAGCATTTTGTGTGTGTTTAATCCTATTTGGTAAACGAACCACTGTGAAAGACCAAGTTGGAAAAAACAGAACACCCCCAAAAGGATTTATTTTTTTAAGAAAATCATGGCTCACTATGGTAGTATACAATGTTGTTTTCACACATGTACACTTGAAACCAGATTTCTAAAACTTGTTTTTCTTAAAAAACAGTTGTTGTAACATTAAACCATAACCTAATCAGTGTGCTCACTATGCTTCCACACTTGCCAGTCTTCTCACACTTCTTCTGGTTTCAAGTCTCAAGGCCTGACATAGACAGAAGGGCTTGCAGATTTTTTTCTTTACAATTCGGTCTTCAGCAACTTGAGAGCTTTCTTCATGTTGTCAAGCACTAATGGGGGATAAAAGCAGGAGAGTCAAGACACCGTCATACATTATATCGATATAATAAACCCCAAACTTGGATGCTTAATTCATTATTTAATGGAGTGCTTTTTTTGTGAGACAAGGTCTCGCTCCTGCTCAGGCTGGCGTGCAGTGGCGCAATCTCTGCTCAGTGCAACCTCTGCCTTCTAGGTTCAAGTGATTCTTTAGCCTTAGCCTCCTGAGTAGCTGGGATTAGAGGTGTGCTCCACCATGCCCAGCTAATTTTTGTATTTTTCGGAGAGACAGGGTTTTGATATGTTGGCCAGGCTAGTCTCGAACTCCTGAGCTCAAGTGATCCACACACCTTGACCTCCCAAAGTGCTGGGATTACAGGCGTGAGCCACTGTGCCCAGCCTGATAGGATGCTTTTTAATCATGAGGTGAATAATTGGTAATCTTATTGTAATTTAAAAACATTATATGAAATGGCTTTTGTGACAATCTAGTTTTCTTCTGTATTCATTCCTTCCCAGATCCTTCATCTCCAATCCTCACTTCCAAAATATTCCTTTTATAAGCCCTATCAGCAGAAAATAATTTTGGCTCATTTAGAAGTAAATTTAAATCACGTTTAAAAGAAATGTCTATTAGTAGGTGTGTGCACCTACTGTAAGTCGTTTTAGAAGTAGGGGAAATATAAATAATAGCAAATCAAGTGCTTTATGCACATGAATTATTTAATCCTCATGCAAACATGATTAGAACTTTACGTATACATAATGAAACAGGCAGAGAGAGGCTGAGTAGCTTCCTCAAGGTCACACAGCTAACAAATAATGGAGCTACTGTTCCAGAGCCCAAACTCTGGGTCACTGTTTCTTCAACAGCAATTCATCAAAATGAGATGTGTGATCTACTAAAAATAAGATGTCCATGCGACAGGCACTGAACAGCTGCTTATTCACTCCTCCTACAAATATTTATTAAGTGCCTGTTCTACAAGGCATTGTGATATTACCTGTGTAGGACATCTGCCTTTAAAGAGCTTAGTCTTATTAAAATGTATGGTATTATCTCAAGAATGGCTGACAGTACTTGGAATGTGCTTCCCCTGGTCCAGCACACACTGGAAACGTTGCTAATGGACCACGATGATCTCTCCTGCTTCCTAGACATGGCCTCATTTCTCTTCACAAAATGACGTTCTAAGTCACCACTGGCTAATAGAAATTTCTGTGATGATGGAAATGTTCAGTGTCTGGGCATTGAGCACTTGGAATGTGGCTAGTGTGGAGAAATGAATTTCTAACTTTAACTTAAATAGCAACATGTGGTGAATGGTTAACATATTGGACAGTGCAGTTCTATGCAGCCACTACTAATTGATCAGAGTTGGTTCCTAGGATAAAACCCACTTTTCTTCCCAGAGGACTAATCAGATGTCACAGCTAGCTACAGCCTTGCATTGAGGTACCTCATCTGCCTTAAGTCAGTCTCTCTCTCTCTCTCTCTTCCATTCATGGCAACCACAGGGAAGGTGATTTTCTTGGCAATCATTTGGATCATCTTTCCTACTGATCTTTACATTGAACCTGAATTTAATTTTAAGCTGGACCGCACATTCTTTCACTTTTGTTATTTAAAAAATTAAGACATGCAGATAATTACAATTATTACACACAGTTCTGTGATAGAAGGTGTGTGTGCTAGTGTACCTAACAGAAAACCTGAAAATCAGGTAATGTGGTCATAGAATCCTCCTAGAGAAAAAGATACCTAATCTAAATAATTCATCTTCAATTGAGATTAAAAACAAACAAACCTGAGATGGAAAGACAGTGTGATTTGCCTGAGGATGCAAGGCTAGTTAGGGTCAAACTGAGTCTGAGGCGTCCCTAAGCCTAGCTCTCTCTCACCTCACCATGCAGCCTCTAGTCCCATCACTACAGCAATAGAAGTGTTCAACTCTTGGGCAACATCCAAACTGAAGGTAACACTTACACAGAGCTGTATCTGCAGGTTCGTAAGCATAGAGACGATTTGAGTATCTTCCAGTGATATCGGCTCTAACTGTCAGAGATGGGTCTGCAAAGATAAACGAAGCAAAAGGGAATGGAATGGTTTGTTTTCAAAAAACCTCTATTTAATGCCATGGGGAGCTGCAGTTCACATATTCATGTCCCGTGAAGGAATGAAGTGCGTCTGCACTCACAGGAGCTCTGATCCATCCACTCTACTACCCAGCCCCTGGCAGTTAGTAGCAAATGCAGGGCTGGAAACATCAACAGCTGTGCAGTGCTATTTGTGGAAAATGTTATGAACCCTTCTGTTCTATCTATGGCAACCTGAAAACAGAATAATACATATTTAGGGGTGACATGGTGTTTAGTTTTTTGGTGAAAACATTAACATTTTGTACTGCAAAATTATTTTAAATTCTTGAAATGATTATGTTGTAGTTTACATGTTTCTAGATCATTGGAAACCCACATCCAATGCTAGTTTTTAAAACAATTTTTTTTTTTAATTAATAGAGGAATACAAGTCCTTAACAGCAAAGTTCAAATAAACATATAGTACCTTCACTATATTTTATTTTATTGTTAATTAACTGCATTTTTAAAAGTAGAGATTGGTCTTCTCTTATGTGTACATGTATCCCTCTAAATTTAAATCCATCTTGCCATGTTTTATATTTAACTTGAAGTGATCTAATTAATGAGAAAAAGGGGCATTTTAAAATTAAGGTGCATCCGAAAGGGAAGCGTGAGGATACAGAGAGATCTGGAAATCTTGCCTTGAGAGACGTAATCGAAAGAACCTAGGACACGTGCCCTGAAAACGAGACAAGGAGGACATGTGAGAACCATCTGCATGTTTGCAGAGTCTGTCGCTGGTACTGGAGTGGGCAATCTGTCATTTCAGAATGTTGGACTAAGGCCAGACACATAAATTACAAGAAACAGATGTACATTTATTCACCAGATTTGAGACCGACTATACTTCTGTTTGGTGCAGAGGATACAAAGACACGGTCTCATCTTTGTAAGAAATTAACCTAAGAAGGGCCTTTTAAATACCCAACTAGCAGCTCACAACCCTGGCTGCACATTGGAATCATCTGGAGAACTGTAAACACTACGGATGCCTGCGTCCCACCCCCAGAGATTCTGACTTAATTGGTTTGAGGTGTGGCCAGGTCAACTTGATCTTTAAAATCCTCCAGGTGATTCAAACATGTAGTCAGAGTGGCTGCTGCGGAGCTAGAAGAGCAAGCTGCTTTGGAGCTGGTTCTTGGGACTGAAGGAATTGAATGTGGGTTAAAATGCCCTTCCACAGGGATGCCGTAAAAAGAATTCCTGTACAAGGTATGACCGGACAATCTATAAATTCCCTTTCACTGTTAGGATGCCAAATGTTCTAAATTCTAACAAAACTAAACCTATAAAATTAGTGCTTTAGTTCAGCCTTCCTTTTTCCTATCTCTCGTTTTCTTTGCCCTGCTTTATACATTCAGTGTAAACTTTAATGAATTACACAAGTGAATCATATGATTAACATGAATTCTTGTAAGTGATAGATTTCATTATGGATTGTCCTTAAATCAGTATGACTTTGAACAAAGCCAAACTCAGTACAATCATCGAATAATTCAACACATATTGATGGAGAGCCTACTGCAGGGTCATGTTGGGAATAGCATGGTGAGCAGAAATAGGTACAGTCCCTGCCATAGGGGCTTATAGTCCATGGTGGGATTTATTACATAACCACCCCCAAAATGCAAAATTATACCTGAGGAAAGTATGACTAAAAAGAGAGACATGGTGCCACAAGAGCATGTAGTAGAGATTTGACCGGGTCGATGAATGATGATGATTGGGGAGTTAATGATGTGAAATTGGGGGACAGAGAAGGAAGTGGGAAAACCACATGAAAAAAGTACCAGTGGCAGGAAGGATCATGTGGCTGCTTTCATTTCTTTTTCCCACTTCATATTCCTTTTTTTTTTTTTTTTTTTGAGACGGAGTCTCGCTCTGTCACGCAGGCTGGATTGCAGTGGTGCTATCTCGGCTCACTGCAACCTCCACCTCCCGGGTTCAAGCAATTCTCGTGCCTCAGCCTCCCAGGTAGCTGGAATTACAGGCTCCTGCAACCACGCCTGGCTAATTTTTTTGTATTTTTAGTAGAAATGGGGTTTCACCATGTTGGCCAGGTGGTTTCAAACTCCTGACCTCAAGTGATGTGCCGGCCTCAGCCTCCCAAAGTGCTAGGATTACAGGCGTGAGCCACCCAGCCTTATTCCTAACTTTCTTAAAAATAATAAAAAATGTCAGAAAAATCTAATACACAAAGTGAAAGTTTGCTGGGTTAAAAAATAAATATTTGCAGGCCTCTTGTATTCAGGAAATGTATCAGTATGTTTAAATAGCGAATAGGGTGCTTTGTTATCAGATGTATTATAGCAGAAGATGAAAAGTTACAATTAGCACGTGAGAAAAGAAAGTGTTGTGTGGAAATAGGTAAAAGCTCACATTTTCTAAAGAAATTATGTTGTGGAACTTAAAGGAATGTCATACTCTTTGCTAGAGCTTAGTGATGACACGGGCCATGGCAAAGTGGCAAGGGACAGTGGGGAGGAGAGAAGATGGCAGCACTAGTATGAGCTTCCGAGTTATCTCATTGTACTTCCACTTACCAACAAACATAATCCTGGGGACATACTGGCCATCAGGAGAAAGGTGTTTGTCAGTTGTTTCATACTAAGATAAAAAGAAAAACGTCTTTTAGTTTACTTTTACTTTTCAGTCATTTTCAAACTTGTTAATACAAGAGTCCGTCCATTTCTGGCCAGGCATCTTACAATATCATAAGGCACCTCTCTTCCACAAAGAGTTTATTGTATAGATGAGGAGACAAGCTGCAAGCACGAAATAATAAATAAGATAGAGAAGAACATGAGATAAAGTGCTGAATGGATGTGATACAGAGCAAAAAAATTAAGGAAGAATTTGGAAGGAGTTACTGTGTTTGGGGAAGACATCTTGGATGAAATAAGAGGCTATTAAGGAAAAAAGGATGTAATTTCTAGAGAAATTACAGAGACAAATACAGGATTTTCTTGAGTATTCATTTATCCATTTACCAATTTTTATTTAGAACTGTATTTAGCAAGGCACAGTGCTAATCTTTAATGAATGCACACTCTATTGAGAGATACAGGTAGGAAAATGAATATTGAGGACTCAGTGGGTGAAATGTTATGGTGTAGGATATGCAGGTTTGGTGGTTGCCTTGAGGAAGACATTTAGCCCAGAATGCAGATTCCACCCCGACTAGGACTTTCTGAAGTGGATAAGGAGGAATCTTTAAAAATGAAGAGGAGTCAGTTATGTGGAAAAGAAAGACACTTCATGCAGGAGGAAGAGTATGGAGAGGACAGGCGGAGCATTTTCTCCTATGGCCAAGTGCTGGGGAAGGACTGAGTTGGGGGAATGCATGAGGGCAGTGGCGAGAAAAGGTGCTAGAGCTGCTTCAGGGGCCAGCTTAGGAATGACATTGCACACCTGCCATGGTGTTTTCCTTTGTTCAGAAATAGTTAAGAACCACTGGAGGGATGTTACAAGAGACAATGTGACCCCAGTTTGGTCTGTAAAGCAACTACTCTGACAGCCATGTGAGATTAGACAGGGTTTATCTTGTAGACTGGGAGCCATTTAGCAGTATTACAGTAAGCTAGGGAAAGTGAAAGAGGCTTACTAAAATAGTGGTCCTGAGTTTATGGAGAAGTGACTAATAGTAGGAATACTTGGAATTTAGAAGCACAGGGCTTACTGAATGCTGTAGGTGAGTAGGAGAGTCCAATCTAGCACACTACCACTTTCAATAAAATAGGGAATAGAGAAAGAAGAGCTATTGGAAAAGCGCAAACCAAGATGATTAATGTACAGTGAGGAACATTCTGAGTTTAAGGTGATTATAAGATATCTGGAATATGGTTGGATAGACAAGTTGGAAGTTGTTTCATGTTTGGGTAAGATGTAGGAATTATTAGTGTGTCAGAATTGATTAAAGGCAGTTGTAGATGCAGTTGTTCACTGAATACAAAATATGGAAAGAGAAAAGGGTCAAGTGGAGATTCATCATGTCACTCACATTAAGGAGTAGGAAGAGGAACCCATGGAAGAGAGGCAAGGAAGAACTACTGGTGTGAAGTGCTCTTTCAGGAAGCCAACCTGTGAAGAGGAAGGGCAGCGGGGCTCAAAAGGACATATGACTAGGTAGAGTCATTTTTTGTTGGCTTTCTTTTAGAGGGAACATGAAATGTTTGTATACAGTAAAAAGAACTTGCCGAGACAGAAAGCTTGAGCACCATGAGGGGTGGTGATGGTGAAGTAAGGTGGGAATGCATAAAGCTAAAGCACAAGAGGCGTGATTAGAGTTGGAAAGCCAGAATGCTGTCTCTTCCTGAGAGGTGACCAGGATCAAGAATGGGTGTAGAGAAGCCAGGACTATAGAGGGATAGGCTCAGCAAGTAACAAAAACTTTCTAGCAACAGAAAAATTGACTACAGGACAGAATTTTTCAGACAAACTGAGATGATTAATTACTAAATAAAAACAGACATGCCAAATGGATTATTAACAAAATGAAATATCTTTTTTTTCTCTCTAATCTATGAGATGGGATATTTGGAAGCAATCCCAGTTAATGCGGTATGACTAAGATGTATAGGAAAAATGAATCATCTATTTCAAGTAATGAGCTGTAGAGAAATGTTAGTAATGATGAAAAGGAAACTTACAACCAGATTGAGGAGGACAAACTGCTCTGCCAATTTCTGGATTTCTTTATTTTCAGCAAACACTTTCTTTAAAGCTATAATATAAAGAAAAATCATTAAGCATCCATCTTAGCATTGGTTAAAAGCTTTGTTCTATTTTAAGTTAAATTGCATTTTATTTATTTATTGAATTGCATTTTAAATACAATATTCTACTTTGGCCTTTTAGCAAATGATTAGTGAAGTAATATCTATGGCATTGACTACCTCTGCTTTTTATTCACTCATTCATCCATTCATTCATCCATTTATTTTTTCTCCAGCTCATATTTATTGAATGGCTGCCATGTGTTAAGCACTGTGTTATACACTAGGGATAGTACAGTGGAAAAAAAAAAAAGCATGTGCGTTTTTCATAGAGCTCAAATACTTGTGTGGGAGACAAACCATAAACAAAGAAATAAGTAGATGATAATTTCAGGTAGAGATATGTACTTTGAAGAAAATTAAAGCAAAGGGTTTAAAAACTGTGAGCGGTCCAGGCAGATCTTCCTGAGGGGCTAACACTGAAGTGAGGGAGTGATCCATTCTGGGCTAGGCCACTGGGCAGCGGAACTGCAAAGCAATAGCTGTGAGGTGGGAATGAGCTCAGATGTGGGAGGAACAGCATGAAGGCCAGGCTGGAGAGGGTGAAGAAAGCAAGAGGAGAGTGGTAGGAAGGGAGAGATAGCCAGTGGCCTGATCCTGTCAGCCTCATAGCTTGTGGTCAGGAATCTGGATTTAATTCTGTGATAAGAAGCCACTTGAGCACGTGAGTGATAGGATCTGATTTACGTCTACCAGCCTCACTCTGTCTTCTGTGTGGACTTCACTGTAGGGTGGCCAGTTAGGTGACTGTTATGGTAGGCTAGACAAGATCTGATCTTGGCTTGGACCAGGGCAGTAGCATGGAGGCAATAGGAAGTGGTTGGATTTGGGCTCAGTGCAAAATGAAAGTGTAGAGCCCCTTGTTGAAGAATTACTAAGACTTCTAAGACAATGACAGCAGAGTTTAAACCAAGTGTGGGAACCTTCTAAGCTCGGGGCCCTGTGAGATGGCACAGGCTTCATGCCTGTGGATCTGGGGCTGGTTTAAGGATATATTTTGAAGATAAAGCCAGTATTTGCTGGTGTATTGAATGTGGACTGTAAGAGAAATCAAGAAGTTGAAGATGAATCCTAAAGCTAGTTTTTCAAAATATGTACCAACGGTTATCACAAAACGTGGAGATATTTGAAGTCACTTTTAAATATGTTTTTACTATAGGAAATATTCATTTTTCTAAATGCAACTGTAGTTCTAAAGATACAAACATGAGTGATCTGAACCCTGGCCCTAAGGCTAAAAGCCTATAAAGGAAATCATATTTAGAAGAATAAATTACCTTGACTGTGTGGGCATTCATCCAAGTGATGGATAATCATCAAGGGTTTGTTGCTTTAAAAGACAAAGAGAGATGAGACAAATTTTATTGAGTAAGATTTCATATATATCTAGATGTCAGTAGGTGGTGCTCTTGAGAGCTTTGAGGGACCTCTGAGGAACCCTGATCTTTACCTTGTCTTGGATTTGTATAAAGCTTCTTCATATGTCTGAGTCCAGATGAGTTGGTCACCCCAACCTAGAATGAAATGAATCAGTATATTTGAAGCTTTTCTAAATTCACACCCAAAGCTGTTGCAAAGCAATGGTAAAGACTGGGATAATAGACCTGATACTAAAGAAGAAGAAAACCCCCTAGAGAAAGCAGAAATAATTATAAACAATGATAAATCTAGAAGGAACACAACCCAAAATAACCTGGCACCAGGTTAGCACCAGGTTTAAGCACCAAGAGAGAGGAAATATTTTCCAATTAAGTAACAGTTGGAAGCCAACAAGAAGCTGACTCCTACCTCTGGAGAGGGTCTGGGGCAGTTTGGGTCGAGAGTCCTTTGTGTCCTTTTTAGCTCCAGGTTTGACTGTAGTATCTCTGGCCAGAGTGTAGGAGAGGGCCACAAGGAGCAAGAATGCTGACACTGAAATTTTCTCCATGGCAACTCTAGTATGGAAAACCAACCAAAATCAGTAAACAAAAATGAACTAGCAGTCTTCAGGGTCTGCAGGTTGCCCCACAACGGTGGAATATATCAGAAACTGAGGCTCTGCTGAGACTGGACATATGAGATTGGAGTAAACAGCTCTGTTCCATGGGATTTTCCTAAGAATACAGGTGGTCTTTGACTTACAATCGAGTAATGTTCCAGTAAACCCACTGTAAGCTGAAAATACTGTAAATCAAAATGCATTCAGAGTAGTCTCTCCTTTCCCAGGGTTTTACTTTCTGAGGTTTCAGCTGTCCACGGTCAACTGCATCCAAAATAGGTGAGCACAGTGCAATAAGATATTTTGAGAGAGAGATCAAATTCACCTAACTTTTGTTATAAGATATTGTTGTAATTGTTCTGTTTTATTATTAGCTCTTGTTAATCTCTTATTGTGCTTAATTTATAATTTCGACTTTATCATAGATATATATGGATAGGAAAAAACATAGCATATGTAGTGTTTGGTACTCATCTGTGGTTTCAGGCATCCACTGAGGGTCATGGACCATAACCCCCACAGATAATGGGGGAACTACTGTAATACACCTAACCTAATGATCACCACAGCTGAACCTACCTTAAATGTGCTCAGAACACTCACATTAGCTTACGGTTGGGAAAAGACATCCAACACAAAGCCCATTTTATAGTAAAGTGTTGAATATCTCAAGTAATTTTTATGAATACCGTATTGGAAGTAAAAACCAGAATGGTTATATGGATACTTGAAATACAGTTTCTACTGAATGTGTATTCCTTTTGCACCATCATAAAGTCAAAAAATTAAGTCAAACTACTGTAAGTTGGGACTGTCTGTATATAGTATGGATAGCTGTCTATTGATCCACATAGATACAGACAAAAATATAAAGATCTCTATAGATATAGAGTTATCTATATAGATATACATCTATATAGAAATAATATAGTTATATTTTAAGAAAATAGATGTATATACTCTAGTAGCTAAGGAAATTTACATTTACGTTTTTTGGAGACAAGGTCTCACTCTGTTGCCCAGGCTGGAGTGCAGTGGTACAATCTTGGCTCACTGCAACCTCCACCTTCTGGGTTCAAGTGATCCTCCCTCCTCAGCCTCCCAAGGAGCTAGGACTACAGGCACGTGCCACCATACTTGGCTATGTTTTTGTATTTTTTAGTAGAGATGGACTTTTGTCATGTTGCCCAGGCTGGTCTCAAATTCCTGACCTCAAATGATCCTCCTGCCTTGGCCTCCCAAAGTGCTGGGATTACAGGAGTGAGCCACCACACCTAGCCGATATCTTAGTTAAATTACTTTTTCTTTCTGGTATTCCACAGTTGATTCCCAGGAAAAGCTAGAGCCTATGAACAGGAAAATAAATGACAAGATAAGTTTAGTGAGTGAGGAGGGGGGGAGGGAGCAAAGTGAGTTGCTCTAGCAAGTCACTAAGGTTGTCCACGGGGCTGTAACATGGAAGGCTGGAGATTTGGGATTCTGATAAAACTAAACACTGAAAGTGCTAAAAAGGAAATATGAAACCACAGCACCTAACTCTAGTATTGGTGAATGGTTTTGAATGAAGTCAAATAAACTCTGCAAGGAATGACTATTGTTAAGCGGGAAGTTTTTCATCATCTAGTATCTTGAGTGGAAACCTTTGCTAAGCATTAGCTGATTTGTTTTTAAAGGTGTTGCTAAGTTACCAGATCGAAATGACATTTTGTATTTAACTGACCAATTATTAACTAATTCATAGTACATAAGCACAAAATGTCTTACTCAGAAAAGATGTAAGCAAAAATCAGGGATATACTTTGTTCATTTTCTATAGCCATAAAGATGTGGAAATGCCAATAACTTTTGTCTTCTAGAGTTTTGCAAAAACAACCTAAGTGTACACTGTAAGTCAACAATTCTCAGCCTTCTTTGTATAAAGACTTCTTTTTAATGTTAAAAAAATCAAGAACTTTTACATGAGAATAATTATACTTTTAGAATACTGGTTGGTTCAGAAACATATGGCAAATAACTTCTTTGAATCTATCAACAAACATTGGATTTTGTCCTTTATAACGGCATCTATGTATATTCTAAAAAATAGTAAATTGATGGTAAAGCATTTTTATTTACTTAGCCCATTTACAGTTCTTGTTTTACAAGTAGCTATTAGGACCTTGCAATATCTCCAAAGATTACAGGTTGGAACTATTGATATATTGCTTGTGTTTTACGGCAGGATGACTCAAGGAAGGCTAATATAACTCCTGCTGTACAAACATCCTGCTCCGGGGTGACTTTCTGAGATTCACTCCACTGAGTTTTTGTAATATGAATAGATTCTGCTGTGCAAATTTCCTGCATAAACCACCTCAAAGCACAATTCCAACCATGGAAAATACTGATAATTTGGAGACACACAGACACGCACACATAGGGACACACACACACACACACACACACACACACACTATGTGAAGCCAGCACTTTTTACTCGTCACCATATCCCTGTCTTCTCATCTTTAGCAAAGAATGAACTTGCAAGACATTTTAGTGTCCGTGTTTGTAAATGCTTCAGGAAAGCAACCAGCCCTCTCCTTTAACAGCCTATCCCATGAATTTAAAGATTGCAGAGGCAACAAGAATGTCTTTGCACCAAAAAGAGAAAGAAAACTGTTTTCTGATTTGCAATAATATATTCCAAGCGGACAATCCGGGCTGAGGTGTCATAGTGGAGATGCGTACAGGGCTTTTCTTTAGCCTGTGGGAAAGAAAGCTTTAGATGGTGACAGACGAAAATCCCTGGACCCTGTTCCAGGCTTGAAAAATCCTAGGATTCACCTACTCTTGGAAATTTTGTTTCCCAAAGGAGAAAGCCTTTCTCTGAACTAACTCAGGAACATCACACTGTGCCAGCTCTAGCCAAAGAAAGGCCCCAGTAAGCCTTTGGTGGAAATTCCATATTTCCCTTCCAAATTCTACTTCATTGCCCTTGGAAACTTGCAGTTCTCTGTTGTTTGATTGCCTACAACTTTATATAGCAATCAGAGACCAAAATTCACTCCAGCAAGTGCCCATCTAAAGCTGCTGTCAGGAGCCTTACCTGGATTTCCTCACCCACCTGCCTTGTGTGAGCCGGCGGCTAGGATGCGGTCCAAGCTTCTGAGTGTGCCAGCACAGCTGAGTCTCTATTTATGCACCAGGGCACACCTCAATCCCACCCACTAGTGCTGCATTTACTTGTTGCTAACTCAGAAACAAACCTTCTTTTTCCCAAGTGATTATCTTCCCTGGGTTAAAGAGTTCCTTGTTTTTAAAAATAACATTGCAAAAGTAGGCTTTTCAGTATACATGTTTTTAACTATTTGTGAAGTGTATTGTTAAGAGGTTTTGAAACGATGGGCAGAGTGCCAAATCCAGGTAGACTTTGAATGAAGACATTTGATTTGCCTGAAGGCTGATTTGTCTTTATGTGATTGGACGGAGTTTGTAGTTTGTAGATTTTTTTTTGTTCTGCCCCGTGGGCAGATTGCCTTTATTTACTTGAAAACACACAAGAGATGATTCACAATTCTGAACCTCACAGTCACATAACCTGCCATACTCCATTATGATAAAAATTATTTTCTACAATACTTCCCCACTCCTGTCAAAAAAATGCACCCTAACTTCTGCAGGTATGAAAAAAATACAAATCAAGTAACCCATATAATATTTCAAAACTGAGGAAGTATTGGGAAAAAAACAGCCTAATACTGGGAGCTTGTAATAATTACCTTGCCATTGAATGTGTGCAGCAACTTCCCTCCACAGAGTTCAAAGGTATTTTACAGATAATTTCTTACTTAAAGGCAAACTTTCCTGCTACGCAAGCAGGAAGCCATTTACTCCATTTTTTCAGACCTAAAAACTAAGATCTGCAACTAATTTTTTTTTTCCACTCAAGATTATTTAATTACTCCCTGAAGATTTTAAAACTGGAATTTAAATTTTCTGTCAGAAAATGTTAATCCTGTATTTTGTTCATGAAGTTGCGTGCAGTCTTTAAAATCTCAGAATGGAGAAAATTTTAACAACAGAAAGTTAACGAATGGGATGCAAGCCCTATATAAATGACTTTTTAAAATGAGTTAAGGTCATAATATTTCAAAAACATTTGCAAGTATGTATATTTTTCCAATAAATCCTTGAATTCTGTGGGCAAAATTGTGATTCTCCAAATACTGAATTTCCTTTCAATTCTAAATGAATTTACAGAAATAATTTCTTCAGGAGTTTGAAAACGATGATTTGAGCAAAATTCTTAAAACTAGCAGGCCCTTATATAGACCCTTGGAATGTTCTATTCCATTCCCTCATTTTACAGATGAATAAATGAATAGCAAAAAATTCATAACTTTTTGAAGGTCTCACAACTAGTTTAGGGCAGAGTTGGGACCAAAGTCTATCAGTCCCTTATTCCCTGAAAGTAACAAGTAGATGGGATTTGGAGTCACGAGATTCCCATCTGAGTCCTGCATCCTGGTGCGTGCTCATAGGAGGATCTGAGATCTCATTTAACATCCCCCAAACTTCAGCTTCTCCATCTATAATATGGGGATAATATTAACGTATGGGACCGTTTTGAATATTAAATGACTTAAGGAATATTAAATGTTTTGAATATTAAATGACTTAAGGAATATTAAATGTTTTGAATATTAGATAACTTAAGGAATATTAAATGTTTTGAATATTAAATGACTTAAGGAATATAAAATGTTTTGAATATTAAATGACTTAGGGAATATGAAATGTTTTGAATATTAAATGACTTAGGGAATATGAAATATTTTGAATATTAAATGACTTCAGGAATATTAGATGTTTTGAATGTTAAATGACTTCAGGAATATTAAATGTTTTGAATATTAAATGACCAGGAATATTAAATGTTTTGAATATTAAATGACCAGGAATATTAAATGTTTTGAATATTAAATGACTTCAGGAATATTAAATGACTTCAGGAATATTAAATGTTTTGAATATTAAATGACTTTTCCCTGTGTTGCCACATGGTTTTTCCCTCTGTACCTGTCTGTGTCATTTTTTTCCTTTTCTTATAAGGACACCAGTCATATTGTATTTGGGTCCAGCTAATGACCTACTTTGACTTAATTACCTCCTGAAAGACCCTATTCTGAAGTTTTGGGGATTAAGACTTCGACATATGAGTTTTTGGGGGAACACAATCCAGCCCATAACATTTGATAAAAATAGCTAATGCATGCTGGCTTAATACCTAGGTGTTGGGTTGATCTGTGCAGCAAACCACAATGGCGCACATTTACCGATGTAACAAACCTACACATCCTACACAGGTACTCTGGAACTTAAAAACAAGTCTCTGATTTGTTATAATTAATTATAGTGATATAATTATTCTATACTCCTGTGCCTAATCTCATGTTAGGAAAAACCCGGAGTTTGTCATAGTGGCTGAGGGATGGCAAGGAGGAGGTAATTATTAGAACATATCCTACACATGCTATTGTGGCCGTGGAATCTTTGGCATATCTGTCTCGGTGTGAGGTAACTAGGGTTCTGTAGATGGTACATATAGTATGCTCTGAGACAATCAAAGGAGGTGTTTTTCTTTTATGCTATTAAACTTCATCACTTTTAACAGTGATGCCATGTGATCAGTCCTTCACGTTTGCCTGATATTGTAAAAATATGTTGCTATCAGGTAGATATTTTGGATAATACCTGAGTAGGACTTCCTGAAGTAGGATTTGATAATTTGATATACAGGTCTAATGTTTAGTAAGTAAAACTAAGCTTGGTATCAGGGACCCTGACAATGGTTGTAATTAAGGGGATATTACACCTTTGTGTTTTAAACATTTATGTCATTATAAGTTTAGAGGCATGTATTCAAGCGTATTTTATTTTACTTTTTAATTCAACTTTAATTTAGGGGGTATATGTGCAGGTTTGTTACATGGGTATATTGCGTGATGCTAAGGTTTGGGGTATGTGATCCTGTCACCCAGGTAGTAAGCATAGCACCCAATAGGTGGTTTTTCAACCCTTTCTTCCTTCTTTCCCTCTACACTTCTGGGGTCCTCAGCGTCTATTGTTCCCATCTTTGTGCCCATGTGTACCTAATGTTTAACTACTACTAAGGGAGAACATGTGGTATTTGGTTTTCCATTTCTGCATTAATTTGATTAGGATAATGACCTCCGGCTGCATCCATATTCAAGCATATTTTAAAGTGGATTATATCCTATTTTTGAGTTAAATCAGAAGACTTATAACTGACAATTATTGTGTGTCTAGTATGCATGAGTAGTTGACTCTTGTGTCTCATTTATTCACTCATTCATTTATTTTCTTCACCAAGTATCATCAGTTCTGTTTATGTAGCAAATATTGTGCCAGGCATTAAAAATATAAAAATGAGAAAGTGATGGTCCGTTATTGAGGTAGCCAGACAATCATACATAGATAATTGCAATTTGGAGTGATGGGCAATGCTATGGGGAAAACACATAGCAGTTTACAACACTGTTTCTGCTCTAAGGTTACTTACGATCTGATTAAAGAATTAAGATGGAACAACACTAAAAATCAGCCATTCACATGAGAATGGCATGCAACAAGAAACAAGTAAATGAGACAGACATCAGGTGTGATTATTTTTTTCAGAGACAGTAGAGATTGTGACCTACTAGAGTGCTCAACTTGATGGCAGAAAGCAAGATTTCCAAATAGAGACAGTGATATAGAATTTGCAAAATATATTTGTGGGATATTTAAGGACCAGCCTAGTTGAAGTGAGAGCCATCTGGGTAGCTCATAGACAATAGGGTTGGAGAGATGCTTTGGGGCTATTAGCCTGGGCCTTTAATGCCATTCTGAGTTTAGACTTTACCCTCAAGAGGAAGAATGTGAGGGTTAAGAGGGCAAGCTGTAGATTCAGATTGGTTCGAGTTTGAATCAAGTTTCCTGACTATTATCTACTTTACTAATCCTGGCAACTTACTTAACTTCTCTGTGCTTTAGTCATATCACTTGTAGGTCTTCCTATCCCCACTTTTTTACTATATAGGATCTGTGAAAGATTACATAAGATTATATATATACACACACATATATATATACACATAGTGCTTAGAATGGTACATAGCACATAATAAGCACCCAAAAATATAAGTTATTAATACAGAATGTATTACTTCTCTGTATTATGATCATTTAGGTCTCAGTCCATGACAGAAGAATCTTTGTTTGATTATCCTTTGATTATAGCTTATCACAAGGTTTAAACTTTTAACATATATTTATTGGAAAAATTAATTTGTCATTATAACAATCTCACCAGACTTCATTATTTTCTTAGAAAAAAGTAAAAAGGCCCAGGTGAGTGGACGTAATTAGCCCAAAGCCGCAAAGCTGATGAGCAGAGAGAAGACCTAAAATTTTCTGTAATTGCTGGTAATTAATCCAGTATTTCTTTCAGTCCATCAGGCTGCCTTCTGATGTCAGAAAATAAAGAGATAAGCCTGTAGATGCATATAATTCCACATTACTGAATTATTATGAGCCTTATGCAGAGGGAAGTGCAAATGACTTCTTGTACTCAAAGGGTTTGCCTCAAAGAAGACTTGTCAAAACTGCTGACCAAGTTGCTGAATAAATTCTCCCTAAACTCTAGCTTAGAGAAATAGACACATAAAAATTCGTGTTTTGACAGAGGAAAACTTGGATACCTTTGAATTTATTTTAATTTCTGAATTGGACTTTTGTGCACAGAAATAATGGTTTATAGTTTCTGGAGTTTTAATTGCTATTCCATAATGAAATTGTTAACAATAGTTCAAACTGTACTTATATATCTAATTCTCCTAAACTTTCTAAATGCCTAACAGAGCAGATTTGCAAACATAATTACCAAGACCTTTCTAAGCATTTTAGCAACTCTTATAAACATTATACATAAAAGTTACTGAATAATAATCAAGTTCTATTAGTTATTTGAATCTTGCTTCACAAATAATTATTTTGTACTTTCAAAATTAAAATCCAAATTATAAGCACAAGACTCATATTTGCATTGTTAAAATATAAACTTCTTTTATATATTACAAACACTGAAATGACAAACACATAAAGTTTATTGCAATACTTTCAAAACTTAAAAGTCTTAGTACTATAGAGTATTGAGGGTTAGGTTTGAGTAAGCTTATCAGCTTTATTCTTTGTATTCTTTCCTGAGACTAGTGATGGAGGAGCAGATTTACTGCTTGGGTGGACGAGGGTTCCTGGGTCTAAAGTTTGGGACCATGATAGGGGTCAAAGGCTGAGACCCAGTCATTGATATGTTAAACTTAATGTCATGCAATTAGATGTGTTTCTTGCAGGAAAGTATAGAGCAAAAGGCCCAGCATACAACTTTGGTAATAATTGTCCATTTAGGAGTGAGGAAAAGAAACACTCGCAAAGCACGAAAAGTAGAAAGTATGCGGACAGGCAGGATAATGCCATAACCCTGGATCCAAGTCCAGTAGGAGCTACAAATCTCAAGGCAACAACTGGTGCCAAATGCAGCGAGACTTCTAACTAGACACTAGGAGAATACACTGATTGTATAAAAATCAGTGGCCTTAAATGAAAATTCATGAAGTGTGCTTAGGTTGAAATAATGAAAAGCTAAGTGCTCTGGTGCAGTAGTGTATTACCTTTTGGGGTTATGAATGAGGTGATTATACTTCTCAATTTGCCCAGGGGAGCCTCAGTTTAAGCCGGTTGCTGAGTATAATAAATGAGAACGTCTACTTTCATTCTCAAAAGCATCATGATTTGGACAATAAGTTACATGATCTAGATGATGAAATCTATTGAATTTATCTGCAGGTGAGATACACGTGTATATGCATATGCATAATTTTACAATTACTTCAGAGGGTTCACTTATATACTGAATCCAGTCCCAGGATCTCTTTGAGGGATTTATAAGCCCTCAAACATTTGCCCTTGTGTTCAAGTTTCTATGCTTAGCCTGCAGGTAA